GTCGGTTTTGGCAACATTAATCAGACAATGTTCATCAGTATCCGAGTTTGTGTGTTGTATTTGTGTCGACGATGAATTAACTTCACAAATAGTGGTTGGGTCGCTAAGATTGTTTGTTAAGCCGTGATTTGTTTTAAAATGATTTGCTATTATGTCACATTTATCCTTTTGAGTGTAGTAAGATGAGTTGTTGTGGTATAATGTTGGAATGTTTTTAGTTTTCCGACGTAAAACTTTTGATACTTTCCATAGTGGCTTAGAGGCGTAATCTAGTTCAGATAGCATTTGATTCCAAGATTTGCTTCTAAAAGACAATAATTCTTTGTTGATGATTTTATTCAAACGATTCATTTGATAACGGTCAGAGTCTTCTCTGAATCTTTTAAAATTCCGTTTGTACACATTTCTGTGCTGTATTAGGATAATTATATGATGTGGAATGGACTTATTCGGATAAGATTGTACGCGTTTAGGAACGCTAAAGTCTATACCACCTTTAATGACTCTCGTTAACTCTTGAATCATAAAATCGATTTGGTTTGAGTCAGTGCATAATGTGGCTTCATCTGTATAAGGAATGTTTTTATTTATAAACCTTTTATATCTACACCAATTTGCTTTATTGTAGTCAAAATATAACGTTTCTGCCTTTACTGTATTTGTATTGACTTCACAGATGACTGGTAAATGATCAGAGCATAAATCATTTATGGTTTTAATGGAACAAACATTTTGAGATACATTGGATAGAAAAATATCTAGGTTAGATGGACGCCGTCTTGCATCAGCTGGAATATGTGAATTACTTCGCGAAAAAAGTACTTGTAAGTTGCGATGCTGTAGTTTATCGTATAATAAATTCCCCCATGAATTGTTTCTTGCACAACCCCAATATGAGTGTCTGCAATTAAAATCTCCTCCTAAGATAAATTTACAGGAGGGGTCAGCTAACTTACGTAAGTCTGACGAGAAATGTTTCCTCAATTCTGCATTTGATCTTCCTCCAGGGAAATAACAGGAGTAAATGTACAAATACTCATTCCCTGTAAATATTTTTATTCCAACATTTTCAATACTGAGTGTATTTAATTGAGGTATTTGTTGATGTTGGATATTTTTTTTGATGAGAATAGCTACTCCGCCTCCTCTGCTACCTTCTCGATCTTTTCTGTAGACGTAATATCTTGTATTTTTTAATGAATAATTAATATTTAACCATGTCTCATTTAAGAGACAGACATCAATATTATGTTTATGCATAAAAATTAATAATTCTTCTTTTTTATTTCGGATACCTCTGGCGTTCCAAGTCATTATTTTCAGATTTGTACTGTTCAATATAAGAATTTAATTGCTAATGTTGTGATGACTTCAAATTGGTCAGCTTTGGATTTGCAATTTGATAATCTTGAAATTAGTTCTATAGTGAGGTTCTTCATTTCATCTATTGAAAATAAATCTTTATTAGGACAATTATTATTTTGGGGAATAGTCCACCTAGACACAGACGGAATTTCAGGAAGGTTGAGAGCATTTGGGAATTCTTTGTTGAAATTTGAATTGTTATTAAATTGTGGCATAGGTCTTTTGCTACTTCGAGTTTCATAACGTTTTCTAATTTCAATATATTTAGAACGACTTGGGCAATCCGGTGATGTCGATTTATGATTTCCATTGCAATTTGCACATTTTAAAATTGTTGATTTGCATTCACTACTACTATGATTTCCAGCACAGTTACTGCAAAACGTTTTAACTTTACAACGATTTGATCCGTGTCCTAGCATTTGACAATTATAGCATTGGGTAAGTCTTCCTTTATTAGGTTTCTGGTATTCCCATCGGATTTTAATACGATTTATTGAATCATGGTTTTGACGAAGTTCCTTAAGTGTTATTGTCTTCCGTTGGAAGTAAACAACATAAATTATGTGTTCTAGGGGTCCCTCCTTCGCCTTTCTAACCACCAGTTTAACATCGGTACATTTTAAACCCATTTCAATTAAATATTTTTTAACTATGTTTGGATCCATTTTATCATAGTTTAATAAAATCACCTTATAAGGTTTTTCATTTTTAGGAACATACGAAAAATATTCCAAATTAAAATTATTATCGAGTGCATGACACATCGAATTCATATCTTCTTTCCTATTTAGAAATAATTTAATTCCTATAGATATTTTTCGAATAGAATACGAAGATATGTTTAATATTCTGCACATTTCATGCACTTGTTCTGTTTTGCATTTCAGAATAGTTATCGGTGGTATTTTATCACTGCTCTGATTATCGATAACAGTATCTTCGATGTCTTCTTCTACATCATCAGGATCCACAACTTGAAGAGGGAGAAAATAATTTTGATTTCCAGCTCCCTGAGAGCCAATTGTTTTTGGTTTTTTATTCATAGTTAGATGCCTTGAAGAGGCAACAACATCTTCGTCGCACGGTCTCTTTATTTTGTTAAATTTATTTGTTGTTTTGAATAACAGTACTGCTTTTTTTTTTATTTTTATTTTTCTTTGCGTTTGTCTTTTCTATTATGCGGAGAATTCACGTCAGAACGATACGGTGTATACTATACGACTCTTATGGGAAGGAGAAAAGAATATTTTCTTATAACTTTTATACATTATTTTATTTTGTTAAAAATCATTTTTATAAACCTATAAAAAAGTTAATCAAGTCCACATAACAAGTTTACAAATATTCTTCAATAGTCTCCATATTATATGCGACTTGATTATTTTTACAACTATTTAGTATCTAAGCTTCAACTTTGACTCAAACATCAATTCTTCTTCTTTTTATTTTTTAGCGCACTTCCCTTGGCTTTTCTCTTTGAACCCGCCTTAGACACTTCTTTCACAGGTTCAGGTTCTTCATCACTTTCATTTTCTTTAGCCTCACTGGTATTCTCTGCGTCATCATCCTCCTCTTGGTCTTCATTTTCATTGTCACTAAAAAATAATATTCAAATATCATTATTTAATTCCCTTTAATTTTAGTTTCAAATCTTACCATATTGTCTGCATATTATCAAACATATTTTCATATTCTTCATCCTCAGACACATCACCGGCATTCTTTTTTGTTTTCTTCTTATTTTTCGATTTATTTTGTTCCTCATCTTCCAATTCTTCGCCATCTTCTGTGGCATTTGGATTTTCCATAGATTCTCGTAAGAGGACTCGGGTAGCTTTTGACTTGACATAGCATTGATATAACATTACACAGGAATCGACATGATGTACACGGACATAACGATCCAAACAGGCAGAGGCCAAATGTTTGCCGGAAACATCCAAATACAAGTCACTAATGCCGCCCGTGAAACCTTTATAGGTGTGGACAAAGGTTTTCATGCGTCTTGTGTCAAAGGCCTACAAGTGAGAGCAACAAACAGTTAAGTCTATTTTAAAACAAAGGATTTTCAAAATGTCAAACTCACCTTCAATGCCCCCATTGTGGTACCGGTGTAAATGTAATTACCATTTGCCGCCAAAGTGGTAAAACTCATTTGATCTTCGGTGGCATAACACTGAACCGGGCGCCTTTGTTTTCTTGTATCATAGACACGCACATAACCATACCGGGAACATGTTGCCAAGGTATGTGGAGAATCAAAGAAACCCACATCACAATCCCATACCGGCACCTCAAGTTGTAAATAATCATTGGGTAAATTTTTGGAGGCAAACAATTGTTTTCCCTCGGCAGACATATCAAACACTTTTAAGTTGTTTTGTCTGCCCTTGCCACCCACAGCAACAATATTACGGTCACTGGGACATTGCCTTAAACGTGACATATCATCACCGATTTTATCCAATAGCAATTTGGGTTGTTCCTCATCAATATCACCATCATCTTTGAGGGCCAATGAACGTATGTGGCCATTACCAAAGCCAGCAACCACACAATTATCATAACGAGCCAAACCAACAATGGGTGACTCCTCAAAGTCTATGGTATATTGTGTGTGGCCAGTACGAACCGAATGTACCTGGGTAGTGGACTTGCCACGACCAATAAGTATTTCAGATTTATTCGAATTGCCAAAGCTCAACGATGTTATACGAGAATCTTTATCCAATTCATTGAGATCTTGCAGGTTGGATTGCTTGAATGGATTGTCTTCATAGGCAGGCAATAATTCTGAAAGAAGATCGAATTTAAAATTATTTTTTAATGGGAAAATTTTATATTTACTTACTTTTAAAGGTTCCCGTTTGGGTGCCCACATAAATTTCATGATTTTCTGTGTAATTGGGGCTTTTTAAATTAGATGTTGTCCACTTCATTCTGGAAAGAAATGTCGATGTTTCTCGCCCAGCAAATGATATGAAATAAACAGAGAATTTTTTTGTTTCCACGTGCCTTCAAAAGAGTATTTGACAGGCCAAACAACAACCGCTCTCTTAAACAGTGTTGTCAACTAGGGGTATTTTTGGTGGAAACAAAAATTTATGCACAAAAACTGCACACACTTTTAAAAATTAGCACAATTACTAGGCATGAAGAGGCACAAATTTGAATTAGATTTTTTTTACTTTATAAATAATAATAAACTGAACTTAATTAACAATAATTATTAGTTCAAATATACATGCCCTAGCAAGTGATAGCTAATTTTCTCTTATTTACACACTGAACACAGCATACTCTCTTTGATGGCCATACTCAACACAGCGTTGTCCATCAAAACAAACAAATAAGAGACTAGCTCACATAGTTCACATTCAGTGAACAAATCTTTTGAACATTTAGTCTATTTAGGGACTTTTGTTTATAAAATGTTATGTTAATAATTAAATAAAAATTTTATGAAATAAAAAAGTAAAAAAATAACCATTTATATACATAAATTAATCATTTAATAACCCTTCGTGCAGCGGAAGAGGAAAAATCAACGATACCGGCAACATTGTTTACAAAAACAAAAACTACACACAAATCCTTTCGGTGAACAGTTCAACTACACATCGTGGGTCGTTATGGCTTTACAAAAAGTCCGGGATGCATCTGTGGTCTTCCGAAATCTAAATGGAATTTTAAATGTTTATAAACCTGCCGGCATGAAAATCAAACATGTTCGTGCAGCAATTTTACATAATATTTGTGAAGGTTTGCCAACAACCAATGAAAAAAAATTTATTCGCAGCTTTACCTAATTCTTCTTGTATATTTCAGATCTAAATGCCTTGAAAGCCAACAATGAACCGGAAGCCCATCAAATACCCTTACTGGAACCGGGTGGTGCTGCTGATCCCCTTTTGAGAAAGGTGCAGTCATTAAATCTGGCCGAACATGTTCTTAGTACGGGACTACGTTATCAAATGGAGGATATACGTTGTGCAACAGTTGCCAGTTTGGGTTTACACACCAGTGGGGTTTTGTGTAAGTATTCGGGAATATATGATTTCCAACTAATAATGTGATTTTTATTCTAGTGTTTGGCATTAACAAGGGCTTAAAACAATCTATGAAAATCCAACGCAATCGCCCTCTAAGAGCCTATCATGTCACCGGTCAATTGGGAAAAGCCACCGAAACACATCTACCCGATTCCCGGATAACTGTGAAAGCCAACTACCGCCATGTCCAGCCAGAACGTTTAAGTGCCTTAGTTTCCTCCCTGCAAGCCTCACATCAACGCAAAATGTTCGAACTATGCGGTGTGGATATGCAATCACAGGCAGCCTATGAAATTGCCTGTAAAGGCCTAATACGACCTGCCAACAATACACAACCTGTCATTTATGGCATCAAGTTAATTGATTTCCAAAAACCTCATTTCACTTTGGAAATTCATGCCATTAATGAATCGGAAGATTATTTGGCCACACTTATACATGAAATTGGTATTGAATTACGTACAGTGGCGCACTGCACGGCTTTGCGATGTATTCGTCATGGTAAATTTTCGGTGGAGGGAGCCTTGTTGCGACATGCATGGAATTTGCCAGGTGTTGTGCGAAATATGCGTGAACAAAAAGAAATTCTAGAAGCACATCCTTATCTGTTGAAGCAAGATCGCATAGAATTAAGGAATTAATGAGTGATTGGTGGTTCATCCATCACATCAGCCAGCAGCAGCTAGCTAGCTAAGTGGCACAATATAAATTGTGTTGGTTTTTTTCTTTTTTAATATCTATGTTAATTGAATACATATATGTATTATATACAGTGGGGTACAAAATAGATTCATGTTTGCATATAATTTAGAATATAGTATTTTAAGAGAACATTCTTAAAATTGTTAATTATTGTAAATAAAAAAACTTGTTATTTATAGTAAATTAAAACAAATATTAAACTACTTAGGTCGGTAAATAATATGCAGGTTACGTGACATGATGGTTATTTTATCCAGCCGCTAAATAGTTAAATTTCTTCAAAACCCGATCTGTTTAAATTCAATCCATTGTTGAATTTCACTACTCTAAAGAATTTCTGGAAACCCCAAACCCTCTTGAAACATTTTTGTGTACAAATAATTTTCAACCTCTAAGTTATCCTAATATTATTTAACAAATTCACACACCTGAAAGTTCGCAAACTAATCTTTGGCCTACCGTTTGTTGTTAGCAATTATGTTTGTTTGTTTCAAGAGTTGTTGCTTTTTTTTGTGAATACATTTGACGGCTATGTACCGCTCGCTAGGCTACCTATAATGCTGGCCAACAACTTGACATGCGGCACACACATACGCACCCATAATAATTATTCGTTCTAAAGAGCAAAACTCGTGCATCTCATGGCGCATGCCTCCTGCACCGGGCCAGCCAACCAGCCAGCCACACAAACAACGGCAGCCAAACGAAAGAAAAACTTTTTGGCTTCTTCTCTGTAGGAGTGTGTGATGATCTTCAAACGAATTTCATTTGAATTTATTAAACGGTTAAGATCGCAAGTGTGCGTATATATCATCTGTTGAATGGTCTAAAAATATATATTCCTTAACATATAAAAACTAAAGTGAATAGAACCCGAACATCGCAATCACAGAGGCAGACGTGTGCGAACGTCTTATTTTTCGGTTTTCCTTTTCGATACAAGAAATCGTATTCAAGTTAATAAATTATTGAAATTGGCTAATAAATCTGTTGTTTAGCAAGCAAACAAAAACAAAAACTTCTATTCGAGTGAAACGGGAAATCCTTTAGATTCCTTAACAACAACAACCAAAAGAATAAAATAAAAATTAAACAACAAAAGTGAAAATGTCTTCCGCCGGCAGTGATAAATCTGATTGTTGTGCTGTGTGTCAGGTGCCAGCCACTTTGACTTGCTCGGCATGCAAAAATGTTAAATATTGTGGTAAAGATCACCAGCGCGATCATTGGCAGGAGCACAAAATCGAATGTGAGAGTCCGTATCGAATTGAAAATGACGCAATTTTGGGTCGCCACCTTTTGGTTACGCGTGATATACAAGCCGGCAATGTCATCTTCGAGGAGAAGCCGCTGGTTGTGGGTCCCAAATGGTTTGTATCGGAACGCGAACAGGAGGTACCGGTTATGCCCTGTGTTGGTTGTTATATACCATGTCGCATTGGTGGTTTCAGTTGCTCCAAGTAAGTTATATAATTTAGAAAAAAGTCCCTTAGTATTTTTCTAAAACAACGAAAAAAAACAACTCCATTCCGCCCTACAGATGCCAGTGGCCATGTTGTTCACCCCATTGTGAGGATATTGAAAATCCCAATAGCCATGGCATAGATTGTGAAATTTTGAGATTGGGCCCTGGACCAAAAACCACAAGTGACATGAAAGTCATGACCGACTATTATCGGCCCGATGCCTTGTTGGTATTGAAATGCCTGTTGCTGCAAAAGCAGAATCCCAAAAAATGGAAGAAGTTGATGAAGATGCAAAGTCATGAAGAGGATCGTGAAGGATCAGAATTGCAAGAGTAGGTATTATTGTTATTATTGTGGTTGTTGTTGATTTTCAGAACATGACATAAGTAAAATTGTTGGCACTGTGCGGTGGCTAACTGGTGGCAATGTACATACATATATGCGTCACAATGGACGGATGATGTGTATGCCGCCTGCACGTCTGTGTTCTCTTTTTGTTTTGTATTTTTTTTTCTTATTTTAATTTGTTTTATTGTTCTTTTATTTTACATTTGTTCGTCCTCCTCCTAGAGATGCCGAAAAGCGTGTCGTCACATATTTGCTAAAGAACTTTTTGGAACCGCTCAAAAAGCGCGAGGAGACCACCAAAGAAAAGCTACTCGAACAATATGATGCCAAGATACTGCGACGCATTTGCGGTATTATCGAAACCAATTATATGGTCATTAGCCTTTCGACGGGCCTGGATCTGAGTGGTGTCTTCTTTACGGCCTGCATGATGGAACACTCATGTATGCCCAATAGCTATTTCCAATTTAATGAATGTGATGGTTTTAGCATTTCGGTTATTGCCGGCCGTGATATCAAGGCTGGAGAACACATCAAGATAATGTACACGAATATGTTGTGGGCCACCCAAATGAGACTGGAACATCTACAGATAACGAAACATTTCAAATGCAGCTGTGAACGTTGTACAGATCCCACCGAATTGGGTAGTTATTTTAGTGCTTTGAAATGTGCCGGAGATGTTAATGCGAAGTGTGATGGTGGCATACAGCTGCCCAAGGATCCATTGGACAAGAAAACCGATTGGATATGCAACAAGTGTCCAATGATTGTTAATGGTGAACAGGTGAGTAAGGATTTGTAATGAAAAAAATAATAATTTAAAGTTGTTGGAAGTGTAGACAAAAAGGAGAAAAAAATTTCAAAAATCTTCAAGTGACCAAAGTACAGATAGATAGGCACATATAGAAAATACTACTTAGAGGTCTTTATAAAATACCGATTCGTTTTCATGTGAGGATTAATTCCGAATATAGCCCAAATTCCGAATATAGCCCAAATGTATGGAAAGTGCAATGAAATACAATGCATGTTTTTTTTTTTCTTTCAATGGACTGTTTTTGGGAACCTCTTTCAAAATTGCTTTAAAAACATTTATTTAAACTCCCACCTAATAATTTTCCCCTCTCCCTCCCTCTCTTCATTTACAAAAATTGACAACAGGTCGGTTATCTTCTAACACAAATGACGGAAGAAGTAAAAACCCTAATGGCTCGACGACCCACGGTCAAACAAGTTGAAAGCCTCATCGAAAAGCTGGGAACCTTCTTACATCCCAATCATTATCACATGTTCAGCTTAAAGCATTGCCTCATCCAACTCTATGGTAATGAAATGGGTTACAAATCAGAACAACTATCCAGTAGCCAATTACAAAAGAAATTAAAAATGTGTGAAGATCTTTATGTAATTTGTCAAAAACTAGATCCGGCCACAATACGTTTATCCATCTATGTGGCCATTATATTCCATGAAATGCATACCGTCTACATGGAACAAGGACGGCGTATTTTGGACAATGATAAAACCAAAGCTTTGGAACTCTTTACAAATGCCAAAGATGTCTTGGAAAAGGCCGAAGAGGTGTTGGAAAAAGAATTGGATGGTGTGGCGGGTAATAAACTAAACGACCACATACTGAGAGCAATGAAAAATGTGAAATTTTATATGGAAAATATGTGTTCCTGAAAACAAAACAAAACAAAATGAAAAGAAAAAAATCGAATGAAAAACCAATCGACCGACCAATGAATCACACACACGCACACACTTGTTTGAGGTTGTGGTGGCATGAATAGTAGAGTGAGAGCTGAAAAAGCGGCAAAAACTGTGCGACGCTGGATTTTTTTGTTTGTTTTGGATTGAGAACTTCTGTTTATTATTAATAATATTAATAATAATAGTAATTGTAATAATAAGTTTATATATAATATTATATTATTATCATCATTATTATAAAGAAGATTTGTTTTTGTTTCGTTTGTTATAACAATATAAAATACAGATTTTTAAAAATAAAAACTACATTATACCGTTACTGACAAATAGAAATTACATAGAAGAGCAATGTACGTTTATTAATTATAAAATGTGTAATAAGGAGGCTGTTGTGTATAGATGGGTGTGTATGAGTGTGTGTGCAAGTGTTGGCTAGGTGTTATTCCCTCTGTGTGTTTCCCCAAAAAAAAACCAAGGGGTGTGATGGTGGTTGATGGGTTGTTTAATTGCTTGCTTGTTGCTTTTATTGTTATTTTTTAATTTTTAGTTCTTGGTGTTGTTGTTGTTTTGTAGAATATATAGCAGCTTTGTCTTCAACGTCGTCGTCTATTTTTTTTTGCTATTAACATGTACGTTCACACGCTCACACACACATCTATATACACACACTCAGTAGAATAGATTATAATCTAAACTAAGTTGATCGATCGAGGAAGAAAGAACTAAACTCTACAGAACACAAGAAGAGTGGGTTGGGGGTGTTGGGGCTCTAGTGTACATTATGTTTGATGTCATTTGTTGAGGGGGCGGGGCAGGGCGGGGGACATTATGATATTAAGATTAAATAAAATACGTATTTGTAGCGCTTATGTTTATTTTAGTATTTCTATTTATTTTTTTTTTGCTGTTTTTGTTTTTTCTTTGTTGTTGTTGTGGTTTCGTCTAATTGAACATATCAATGGGATCTTGTGGAGCATCCAAGTCACGATACTGTATTATTTGACGAAACTCTTGACCGGGTCTGTAAACAAAAGATGTTGTGGAGTAGAAGAAGAAGAAAAAAATGCAAAGGTTCAATAACAAAAAGTTGTGATTTATGATTTTAATATTTATATAATTATTATTTATATTCATAAAATTATTGTTGTTGTTAGTTAGTGATTATTGTATATTTAACTAAAATTATCTAAGAGACAAAATCTTAAGACATATACCAAATGACAAAGAGAAAAAAATAATTCATTTACATTCGCTAAGTGATGATAAAAAACGTTAGAATAGTACGGTAGTATTGTAGTCTATACAGGTAAGTGGTGGTGGATGGTATGTATTTCTATTTCATTTGTAATTGAAAATGTGCGAATGTTTATAATAAAATTTAAGAAATAAATAAAAAACGCAAACAAATTAAGCTAAAAGAACAATAAAACCAATGACGTAGTGAAAAAAAACACTGCAAAAATTTAGAATAGGCGCTTTGGGGTCGTACATTTCACTTCGGGTTTTTTGTTTTGTCTATATATAAATAGAAAACAAAGAGAGGAGGACGACAACTTTTAGCCTTAACATCAATCATCGATTACAACAACAACAAACTGGTCATGGTCATTACGTCCTCGTCGTTGTTGTGTTTGTTTTGTTTTAGGTTTGTTGTCTAGTCAAACATATCGAAATTGGCCGGAGCATCCAAATCATGATAACCGATAATACGACGTTGATGTTCTATGGGCAAGTCTCTGTAAAAGAAGTTCACACACAAAAGATAGTTGTAGAGTAGAGAGTAAACAAAATAATAGTAAAAGAAGACTTCAACCAAAATTGTAAAGTTGTGGAAGAAAAAACGATGTGTTAAGTATTTCAAAAAACAAAAAGAAGCAACTGCATTACAGCAATAACAACTAAGCTAGGAAACTATTAAAATTTATTCGCAACAAACAAACAAAAAGAGAGAAACAAAACATCTATATATACCTTCGTCCGGGACCTCCAAAACCACGACCACCACGTCCTGGTATCATTAGGGGAGGTGCGTAGGCAGCATAGGGTGGTGCGTAAGCAGCCGGTGGATATACAGGGGCTCTGTAACCTCCACTCGATTCCGATGTTGTCCTCTTATTATTACCAGGATGCTCTGGTAACTGCGGCCTCTTGGGATCCTTCAAATAGTTATTAAAGAACTCCACCTCTTTGCGTACCTCCTCCACCTTTTCGCCGTGCTTGTTGAATATATGCTTGCGTATAAATTCGGGACCTTTGAATTTCTTGCCCGACAGCGGACACAACCACTTGTCTTTGGCCAATTCTTGGGTATTGGCCTGTATGAATTTCTCCACTTCATTTTCGGCATCTTTAGCTCCCAAATTCTTCAGTTCTTCCTCGTCGATTGTTGTGGTTTTGGCTAAGAATGTTTGCATTTTATTTTCAAAATTCTTGATGTAGTCTTGCAGGTCATTCTGTGAGACTTTCGAGGGTGGGGGTCCGCGTGCATGGATTATGCCACAACGATTGGGCATTTCATCTTCGTAGGGATATTCACAGTGATTGTAGAAATCCACCGAGTGAACAATTCTCAAATACAGAATGAGATTGTCCAGAACGGAAATCAATTGGGGATCTCTTTCGATGGCTTCACCTTCGCTTTCCTTGTTTTCACCGGAAATGCCCAAAAGTTCTTCCTCCTCGGCAGAGGCTTCCTCGATGAGGAAGTCGGTAATGTTTTGTAGAACTGGATTATTGGTTTTAAAGCCATAGTTCGAGGAGTTTGATGTATTGTGGGCATCTGATGTTGTGTTATTCTCAGCAGATGTGCTGTTTTCACCAGTAGCGGCACCATCGACTTTGTTTTCGGGATTGGATGATTGCTAAAAATATTTAAAAAATATATTAGTATACTTAAAAAATCGGTTGCTTTCCTCCTCCTCTTACCCAAAGATTAAACTTTTCATCCAAATTCATGGCAATTTTCGCACACAATTTAATATCGGCCCTCACCACAGTCTTGTGGGCAGTCATGCCGTTTACCGGCCTCACCCTTCGACTAAGATCCCTATTAACAATGGCTCCCATTTCACAGTCACGTAGACGTGTGTTATTTAAGCTCCAACAAATTTCCTTGATGTTCACATCACGCTTGAAGGTAACCCAACCACGACGATACCAACGTCGTTCTACCAATGGATCAGCAATAGCCACTCTCAGGAAACCATCGAATTTTTGACACACCGCCTCTATTTCACTTTTAGTAATGGATGGTGCCAAGTTACGCAAAAAGATCGATGAAGTGCGATGTAAAGCACGTGGCTGAGGACCATCTTTAACTTTGTCCAAATCAATGGTTTCTGGCTGTTCATCTTCTACGGCCTTTTTATCTTCTGCGGAGGTTTCAGTTTCAACACCCTCTTCGTCTTTCTGTTCATTTTCTTCGTCCTTTTTCACCTCGGGCTTTTCTTCTGCCTCTTCATCATTTTTCTTTTCCTCCATGCTGACATCAGCATCATTGCCATTTGATTTAGCCTCCTCCACTTCATCTTTAACAGCATCCTTCATTTCTTCTTCATTGCCATTCTCAACAAGTTTCTTGTCTTCATTGTCGCTTTCAGCTTTCTTTTCAGATTCTTCATCGACAGATTTCACCTTATCTGTATCTTCTGTGGGCTTTTCTTTGTTTTCTTCGCCTTCTCCGTCTTTATCGTCGTCTTTGACATCTTCTAAATCATATTTACTTTTGACTTTGTCATCGGCTTCATCTTCACTGCTGGAAGAGGAACTTGAAGAATCTGAATCTGATGATGACGACGATGAAGAATCCGAACTGGTGCGTTTTCTTTTGAGAGATTTCTTCTTTTTCTCTTCTTTCTTTGTTTTAGACTCATCATCCCAATTCTCTTCATTATCAGAGCCACTGTGGCGTCGTGTGGCTTTGGGTGATACACACTTGGGTTCATCGTCATCCTTCTTTTCAACCGAGGTGATAATAACATCATCATCGTCACCCTTCTTGTCAAATATACGTTCAGGATAAGAGGCCTCTTTGGGCTTTTCGTCTAAGATTTTAAGATCTTCATCTGTGCCGCCTTCTAATTTGATTACGACAGTGTCTAGGACTCGCAGCAGTGGATCTGTTTGATTTGTGTCTACGGTAACACTTTGTATCATACCGTTTTGTAATAGTTCCTCAAACACTTCTACGCGTCTCTGTAATATTGAAGAAAACAACAAAGAATTATAAGTGACCAATTCAAAGACCTTATATAGAGAAAAATTTACCTTTAGGAAATTTAATTGTTCATCTTTACGTTTCACGCTATCCACTGGGTGATATTTATTTTTGAACCTATTAAAAAAAGAAATGAAACAGACAACAAAAAATTAGTAAAGTTGAAATTGTAATTTTTTAAATAGATTTCGATGTAATATATTGTAGTGTTTCCATGGTACAATATCTCTGTTTCTCCTTTTTCGGTTTTGTCACTCCGCAACATGTTTTATGGGGGGACCTACTATTTTTTCAATTATGCTTGGCCTGGTCATAGTTATTCAGATTCAAATTCGCTGTGTATACATCAACAACAACATAATTTTTTTGTTTAATAAGATAGTGTTTACGAAATCTTACCTTTCAGCTAGCTATGATTTTTAAAGATCATGGCTTTGCTGGCGTTCGTATAACGAGAGATTTCAATTTCAAAAATAAACGATTTTAATATAAACGCGATTTAATAAAAATGCTATTTAAACACACTGTGGCATTGCTCGCCAAGTGCAAAACAATCAAATCAAATCGTATCGAAAATCAAATGATCGTGCATCATTCGGAAGAGGAAGTAGTAGTGAGTGGTAGTAGTAGGAGAAATCAAGGTATTCGGCGTACACAACAACAACACAACTCACTATGGAGCTTGATAGCATTGTGCACTCACTTATCGTCCTACAGTTACTAAGGCTGTTGGCGTGACGGCTTCCATAAGGATGCCTTCTTTAAAATAGCTGTAGAGAAAAACTTATGTAAACATACAGTTGGCACATTTGATGTTATAAAACGTTAGAACAAAAATAAAGGTGTTGGTAGAGTTTGGTAGCAAAATTTTGTTAGATACCTAATTGCAAACTGAAATGATGATCATCATCATCCAGTTCATCAACGGCAGCAGATTCTCCACACTTACCATTCCTCGTCTTTGTGGGCAACAAAGAATTCATTCAACTGTTGACGTTTGAATTCCAACTTGTATTCATTGTATTTACGCAGAACTTCTGTATCTGATATGCCATCGTCTTGTGTGTCCAAGAATTGTTTTAGAGTCATCATGGCGGGTTGTGTTTGCATATCACTGTTGGCAGCAGATTCTCGGGGATGAGCACCGTGAGCTAAGCCCGCGCCATAGGCACTGTGTAAGCTATGGGCAGCATAATGTTCATTCCAGGCATGCAATAAATAGGGATCATAAGCTATGGAAAGGAAATTAGACGATTAGGTGAGAGAAAAAATGAATATTATATGATGCAGAACTTACGTCCATATCTGTGATTGGCCCTTAGATCATCACCCCAACCGGGTCTCATGCGTTTTGCCGGCGGCATTTCTCTATCCGGTGAGTAGCGATCTCTAGCTCCGCGATAGTCGCGATAATCTGGCCGTGGTCGGCCACCAGCTCCTCCTCTAAATGGATTACCTCTAATTATGAGCATAAAAATGGTTCGTACACAGAAAATTTGTGGTTTTTGGAATGTTAACTTACCGTTCGGGCCAATCATCTCGGCCGCCAGCAGCACTGCCAGCACCGGTTCTGCGATCGTCACGTCTTTCCGAACGATAACTGTCCCCAGAACTGCGTTCTCCACGGAATTTATCACGGCGTTTACGATCGTACTCATCATCCGAGTCGGCCATGGTCTTAAAAAAGAGAAAAGCAATCATGTTTTAAAATAAAATAAAAATGAATTATTTGGTTTTCTTTACAAAAGAAGAAATACCGGCCGCCTAGATTCTTGTTTTTTACATTTTGCCACGACTATCAGGTGAAAGTCACCTTTCCACCCAAAGAGTTAATTTTAACAAAACATAACCTCAAAAAAGTGAATATACCAGAAGAAATAAAACGAGCGATAAATTTAGCCAATAATATCCAATGAATTACTTCAAAATAGAATTTAATGCATTACACCAACAGAAGATAATTAACGCGCAACATGGACATTGATTTTTTTCAATGCTCATTTGCATAAAATACAGAAGAGAGGAATAAAAACGAAACTCTAGTAGTGGTTGTATGCAAATTTCCCAACGCCATCACAAAAAATGGCATTTTCGAGGAAAATTTCCTTTTACCTTACCTCTGTTTTTGTTTATTCCTATTTAAAGCGTTTTAATTTACAGCAATGCTTCGAGAATAATCCAAATTTTCACTTATTTTATGAGGAAATCTTGTATTAAAGCCCTCGTCGTATCTTTTCTTAAGTGACGCGGATGGATGCGTTTTTTTTCTGACACCACCTCAACGAGTATTAGATAACCGAGTACCAATTATCATACGTGTGTGTATGTATGTGTGTGATTACGTTGTTTATTAAGTGCGACCTATAGTAAAAACGTTAGCATGACATTAGTTACTCATTAGAGTACTAAATAAAGGGAAGAACTAAAAAATTAACATATAGTTTTAGATTTTATAAAAAAATTAATAGGAAAATGTGATATATATATAACATAATACAGCAGAGGAAAAGTTTACTATTCTTTAATTTATATAAAAATATTAATATAATCAAAATAATAAATAATAATATTTGCGCTCTAAATACGATTGTCATAATCAGGTACTAGTAATTGCCCCCATTTTTCAAACCCAACATTTAAAATTGAAGAACTTATTCACGAATACAAATCTGAATAATGTAGAAAGGCACAATAAAAAAAGTATAGATTTTTTTAAGAAAAATGTGACAAGTGACATGAAAGTCATGACCGACTATTATCGGCCCGATGCCTTGTTGGTATTGAAATGCCTATTGCTGCAAAAGCAGAATCCCAAAAAGTGGAAGAAGTTGATGAAGATGCAAAGTCATGAAGAGGATCGTGAAGGATCAGAATTGCAAGAGTAGGTACAATAAAAAAAGTATAGATTTTTTTTAAGAAAAATGCATAATTGGCATAGAAGTTTTCTTTGTATTGAGTAAATAAATAAATAAAAAATGCAAGTCGACATAACCTATTATTTACTTATAATTAAATACAACAGGTTATTTTTTATCAAAATTTTATTATCCAAAAACAATATATAAATATTCTTTTATATATATTATTAGAATATTGTTTCCTCTAAAAACTCGTAATGTTAGTTCCATGATTAAGAAAAAGCAATTCTGCATGCTACAATATTAGGTATGTTGAGTAAACGAACAATTTTCTACAAATTATTACTGTAATTTGTTTGTTTACGCAAAAGTCCAGCAGAAGAAAATGAACTAAAATAATTTATATTTTATCAGCTGTTAACAGCTAGATTAAAAAAATTAAAATGCCAAACACAATTTTGGTTATTATGGAGATTTTTTTAAAATCATTTTATTTTTAAATGAAATATTAGACAAATCTGTTTGAAGTCGTTCGCTTAATTTTAGTTTCCTTGTGATAGTAAACTCTCTCATAAGATGTTACTGAGTAATTTTTACTACCAAAGTAAACGAACACACTTAAAATAAGGGTAAGATATGTTGCATGATGCTATAATAAGGTGATTTATCACAACAAAAATCTTTGTTTTTGTCTCGACCGTCTGTCAAATTTTTCCTTATAATATTTCACATGGTTGGCAACATTGCACATCGTATTCAAGTAGAAATTATGCACTTTGACAGTTAATCGAGACGTCAGTTGCGCTAAATGGAGCACCTATTTATTGTACTATGATATGTTCAGTTGAATAACAAAAAGCAACTCTGTATGTAGTGGCTTGTGAAATAAATATACGAAACAAAATTAATGAAACATCATGATTTCTTCCTAAAAACGAGTGGGGAACATAAATAAATATTTGTTTCTCCCATAACTAAATAATTCTGCTGTAATAAATAGTTCATTTTATTTAAATCATAGTTCTTTTTGAAAAGTTGGAAGAATATCTTTCGCTGGCTCATTATAAAATAGATCATATAAAAAGTATTTTAAAAATATGAATATGAAGGAAATTCTGAAATATAGAGAATTAATATCGGGTCATAATGTCAGAACAAAAAAATATTCGTATACGGTTCAAGTACAGCAAAATGATAATTGAAAAAAAAACTATTGGGTAATAGTTTGCTAGAGAAAATTGTGATAACAGGGGTTTGTTAAGTTCGTGACTCTGTAGGCGGTAATACATATTTAGAAGGCCCATGTGTGAATGTTTATTGCCACCTACAGAGTCACGATTAACATATTGACATGAGAAAAAATATATATTGATTCAATTATGTATTATTTCCATAATGTTTTTAAATGGGAATTAAATTCAATATTATAACATATATATTTGAGTGTGCGTGATATAAAAATTCTATGACGTCAATTAATGTATATTTTTATGTGATATACATATTGTATTTTTAATTTCAGTTTCATTCAAAAAATATGATCATCATTTCAACTTAAATTCGTATGTAAATTAGCATAAATATTAAATAAATGCCAATGCGATTAATTTGCATGATAAAGAGTAGTTCCCCACAATCGTGCGAGATATACGCATTTTCTATAGGCCACGCTTCATTTCACTTTTCAGCATCCACCAACAAAAAAAAGAAGAAAATAATGAAAAGGGCAAAACTCATCAAATAGTGGCAACAATTATGTTGATTTGATTTGGTTGGCAAGCGAATTTATTGGAGCAACACCATTAAAAATGATGATGATGATGACAAATGTAAACAGAATAGCTCCAAAAATTATAAAAAAACGATGTGTAAATAAACAAACCGAAAAAAAAGTGTGTTAAGGTCATGGTGACCGGGTATCAACCACGTTATCATCATCAGCCGCAGCACCAGCATCATCATCATTATTATCGTCGACACATCTTTAACGTAATTATCTTTAATAAAATCAACTTTACCCAAACCTCCACAGGTTTTGGCATTGTGAATGAGCTCAGTTTTTAATATGATCAAGCCGCAGTCGTAGTATTTGGAATTTTTCGATGTTTTTTTGCAATAAAAAAAGATGCATTCAGCAACAACAACAAAAATAACCTGTTTGGTCAGTGATCTTAACGTATGACCATAAACTACACGATAATCTACCTTATGTGGTTACATGACAAAGATGTGGTCGTCAGAAATTGTTTTCATTCCACACATGCTGATGTTGTTATTGTTGTATTTTATTATCGAAAAATCTCCACCCGTTCGAAAAAAAAATGATTGACGGCTTGTTTTTTGATATGTTTTTGTGTGGGTGGAGAAGATTTGATTGTTTTAGAGAAACCAGAGACGTCATGAGACATTCCTTCCGGCAAGTGGCATTTGAAAGTAGGGGAAATAGTGCAATTAATACAAGGGCAAGGGTATAGCACCCAGCTCTATCAAAAATCTAGTTTGGATATTGTTTTAATGATGGATTTAAAATTAGATTCAATTTAAATTGTCAATTCCATTGCTTATATGTCAAATAAATCTTCATAGATGTGCTTAAAGCGGTATTTACATTAGAACCTGGTTAATCTACTTAATGAGGATTTATTTGACATTCAATATTCAATGGAATTGACACTTGAAACCACTGGGTTGACGAAATCCAGTACAATGCAAACGTACTATTACCCTACTAAAAAGTTCTAAATGTACATGCCCAAGGCCTATAAATAAGGTCGTCCAGGGAGACCAGCTGGATATCAGCTGCCTCTTAAGTTTGCTGTCAAAATCCATTATTGTGAATTGATTTCCATCATGAAAACGTAAACAAAGGCCAACTTTTGGACATTAGATTTGAGAAAAAACAGCTCACTTTCGCTAGCCGGGTGACCTTATTAATAGATCTTGTACATGCCGTTGTTGTCTGTGTAAACATGACCTTTTCTAAATAATTAGTTTCATTAATTTTTCACGTGTTTAGTAACATGTTGAAATATGTCAATAAGCAACATGTTGTTTTTTATCTGACAGAATAAAGCTACACATGCAGAGTTGATATTTCTTATAGACCACAATATTTCCAGCATGGCTGTTTAGGACATATCAACACCGCTTTCACACATGACAATTTTCTTTAACAAAAACAAATACTTCTAATGGTAATTAATTCGTATTGCGTAAAATCGACTGTTATAATTTATTCAAATTATTTTAAGCCATGAATTACTAATCCGCAGAATTTATGCTATTCAAATAAATTTAGCACAGACATGATGAAGCCAAACACACGCATTAGTTCCAACAAATATCCGGTTTAAGACATGACTTTTAGCAAAATTTATTTGTCTAAATCGATGACAAAGAAATTTAAACAATTGTCAAACTATTTGATTATATTGGTTTAAATAATTAACATAACAATAGTAAAAGAAATCATTGGTTTTGAAAGACAATAAAAAACAAATAAAACAGAGTTTCACATAAAATAGTTTTTATAGATGTGTGTAAGAGTTTTTATACACGAAATTATTTCGCATTTCAAAGAAAAATCGGAAATTTATTTAAAAAATTATTTTAAGACTGTCCAAGACATTTATTTTGGACATGACATTTTGTTTCGAGAATTGGACAGTTATTTATTCAGAGAGATTAATTTATCTAAACATGTCACATTTGGTTTGAGAATTAAACAGTTATTTATTTAGAGAGACAAAAACAAATGTGTCAACCAAGGCACAATAAATAGGTAGTCCATTTAGCCCAGCTGTTAACTTGATTATCTGTCAAAGTACGTACTTGATGGGGTTTATATCATAAACATGAACGATTAACATATAATGTATTTTAAAAGAAAAATGAAACAAATTAAATGAAAATGTTTTCATTGTTAATGCGATATGAACGGAAGATTCAATTTAATTTAACACTTGCATAAAACAATAACAACTAACTAAGTTCTTAAGTAACCTTATACAATGTGCATACTTAACTGACACTCCGTATCATCATCACCATTGTAATCTGTTAACTTCGAATTGTATTTATAAATAATTTATTTTTTTACCATATAATAATTACTTTGTGATGACTAAGAGAAAACCACCGGCCGAATGAGAATGAATACGTACAAACGTAATGAGACAATTTGATTGTTGATGGGGAAAACTTGAACTTTTCAATTGAGATTTAACATAAATTAATGGCTAATTGGCGCCTTTTTATCGGCACTAAACACCAGCAACAATAACACAACACCCGGATGTTCTTTACAA